GGCCCCAGAAGCTGGCCGTTCTCTCCTTCCCCCCTGCGCGCCGCCCCGATGCCCCCGTCACGGCACGTCGGGCGCAAGAGCAGCCTCGCTTGGTCGTCCGTCACTCGCCCGAACGCGGCCCCCCCTCCGCCGGCTCCTCGCGCACCGCGGCCGTCCGACGAGGGCGAGGAGGACGTGGTCGACATGGCGAAGCGCAAGGCGGAGGTTGAGGCCAAGGTCGAGATTGACTCGGAGGCGGACAAGGCGGACGAGGCGGACGAGGCGGACGAGGCGGACGAGGCGGACGAGGTGGACGAGGCGGTGGAGGTGGACGAGGCGGAGGAGGCGGACGAGGCGGGCGAGGTGGACGAGGCGGAGGCAGGCGAGGTTGCGCAGAGCGTCGAGGCGGAGGCGGCGGAGGAGACGTTGATGCCGATATGCGACACCGAGTTGAGCGAGACCGGCTCGGAGATGATGGGCGAGGCCGAGGACGAGGCGGAGATGAGCGACTCGACTGTCCGCTACGACGACGAGGAGGCGGAGCCCGGTTTTGCGCAAAACGGCGTCGCGGCCTCGGCGGCGGCGGCTATTGAGGACAGCCGGACGGTCGAGCCCTCGATGGAGCCTGCACCGCCGGCGGCGGGTGCTACCGTGCGCCCTCGCCGCCGCGCCGCTGCCGCCGCCGCCGCCGCCGCTCAGGAGGCGCGGCGCAAGGCCGATGCCGTGGCGTTCGAGGCCATCAAGACGCAGGAGCGCGAGGCTTGGCTGAACGCTGCCAAGCAGGAGGCGATGGGCCAGGACGACCTCGAGGAGGGTTTGGCGGCGCTCGAGCAGGAGCACGCCCAGTCCGACCTCGAGGACGGCGCCGAGCGCGAGCCCGACGACTACGACTTCGGCGCACGCCCCAGCGCGCGCAAGTCGGGCGCGCGCAAAACCAAGCGCACCGACTAGAAGCCAGGCAGCCCCGCTCGAAGCCCTGGCGGCGCAGGCTGCCACCGCTGCCCGGGCGCCCCGAGCGGCGGCGGAGGGCCGCCCAGGCCACCACCAGTGCCCCTCCCACCGGCGGCGCGCGGCGGCCGGCGGCGACCAGAGGAGCGGTTGGGCGCGTGGCGCATATGTTACCTGCCAAGTGAGCATTCAAGTGTGCTTCGAGATGTATTCGAGATTTGAAACTTAGATTTTCGTTTTCAGTGGGGACAGGGGAGATGGCAGACCTGATCTTAGAATCGCTCTTTAGCCAAAAGCCCCCGTCACTCTCAATCGTCGAAGACGGCGCGGCTCACCTCACTCCTCAGGACGCGCGCTGCGCGTCGCCTTGGCTGGCCTCGTTTATAGCGGGGTCCGCCCTCAGCTCCTTCGAGGCGTACTGAAGCGCCTCGCCGTTCTGCTTCGCAGCGGCCAGCACGACCTCGCGGTCCGCCCTCAGCTCCTCCGAGGCGTACTCCAACGCCACACCGCGCTGCTGCACAGCGGCCAGCACCACCTCTCGATCCGCCTTCAGCTCCTGCGAGGCGTAGGACAGCGCCACACCGCGCTGCTGCACAGCGGCCAGCACCACCTCTCGATCCGCCCTCAGCTCCTGCGAGGCGTAGTGCAGCGCCCAGCCGTTCTGCTGCACGGCGGCCAGCACCACCTCTCGATCCGCCCTCAGCTCCTGCGAGGCGTGCTCTAGCGCATCGCCGTCCTGCTGCACGGCGGCCAGCACCACTTCGCGGTCCGCCTTAAGCTCCTCTGAGGCGTACCGCAGCGCCATACCGTTCTGCTCGACAGTCGCCACCACGACCTCTCGGTCCGCCCACAGCTCCTGAGAGGCGAACAGCAGCGCACCGCCGTCCTGCTGCACGGCGGCCAGCACCACTTCGCGGTCCGCCTTAAGCTCCTCTGAGGCGTACCGCAGCGCCATACCGTTCTGCTCGACAGTCGCCACCACGACCTCTCGGTCCGCCTGGAGCTCCTCCGAAGCGTACAGCAGCGCATAGCCGCCTTGCTGCACGGCGGCTAGCACCACCTCTCGGTCTGACTGAAGCTCCTCTGAGGCGTACTGCAGCGCCACACCGAGCTGCCGCACGGCGGCCAGCACGATCTCTCGGTCCGCCCTCAGCTCCTCCGAGGCGTACTCCAGCGCCACACCGAGCTGCCGCACGGCGGCCAGCACGATCTCTCGGTCCGCCCTCAGCTCCTGCGAGACGTACTGCAGCGCCATGCCGCTCTGCTGCACAGCGGCCAACACTACCTCTCGGTCCGCCCTCAGCTCCTCCGAGGCGGACAACAGCGCATCGCCGTTCTGCTTCACGTCGGCCAGCATGATCTCGCGGTCCGCCCGCAACTCCGCCGAGGCGTACCTCAGCGCCTTGTAGTTCTGTTGCACGGCGGCCAGCACGACCTCTCGGTCAGCCTTCAGCTTCTGCGAGGCGTACTTCAGCGCATCGCCGTCCTGCTGCACGGAGGCCAGCATGAAGTCTCGGTCAGCCTTCAGCTTCTGCGAGGCGTATTGCAGCGCCCAGGGGTGCTGTTGCACGGCGGCCAACACGACCTCGCGGTCCGCCCTCAGCTTCTGCGAGGCGTGCTGCAGCTCATCGCCGTCCTGCTGCACAGCGGCCAGCACAAACTCGCGGTCCGAAGAATCAGCCGTCAGCCTGGCACCGATGCGCCTCAACCTGGAACCGATGCGTTGCGCGATCTCCGCCGTACTGCCCTGCTTGGCGACGCAGACCAGCTCACACAGCGCCTCGAGCTGCCCCCAGCCCAGCCCGCCGCTCTCACGCAGCCGCCTCGCCAGCGCCTCCGAGTCGCCGGACGTCGGCAGCCCCTTCTCCTCGCAGAGCGCCTTGAGCCGGCCAAGCGGCAGCTGCTCCAGCCAGGACAGGTCGACCTCCGCCGCTGCCGGCGCCGCTGGTGACTGCTCCTCCTTCTCCTTGCCGCCCACCTTTGCCTTCTTTGCAGCGAAAACCGACGGCGACGGCTCATCCGCCTTCGTTTTGCGAGGCGCGGAAGCGGAAGCGCCGGTGTCAAACGACGACGAGACGCCGGGCGCGCCTGGCTTCTCCGCCGCCGCAGGGAGGCTGATGGCCGCTGTGCGCGCGGGAAAGGGACAGGACAGGTCAGAAGCGTGCAGCGTGCCGCGGTCGCGGCACAGTGAGGGCATGGCGATGGGGTGAAGCGAAGCTGGCACGAGGGTGGCGCCATGACTGGCGTGAGGTGGGGGTGGGGGGATGCGCGCACCTGGAGCCTCGCCACTCGGCTCAGCCGCTGGCGGCGCCTCAGCGGGAGGCGCCCCGCCGTCCTGCTTGGAGGTCGCGAGGGCTAGCGCGAGCTGCCGCTCCTCCTCCGCGTCCACCCTCGGAAGCGCTCGCTCGTCTCGGCGAGGAGGCGGGTCGGCCAAGCGCGCGCCGGCCCTCGCCGGCGCTTGCTGCCGCCAGAAGCCGGCAGCGGCGGCCGCGAGCCACGCTGCGCCCACCCCGCGCAGCGCTCCGACAGCGTCGGCGGCGGCCGCCGAGAAGCGAGGCTCGAAGGCGCGGGCCCAGAGCAGCTCGAGGGCCGCGTCGGGAAGCGCGGGGGGCGACGGCAGCGAAGCGAGCGCGAGTGCGAGCGCCTGCAGTACCGCCGCGCGGCTCGTCTCGATCTTGACGACCGCGTCATCTGTCAGGCCGCCCTGGCCGCCGCCCAGGCTGCCCTGGCTCTGGGAGAGGGGGTCGTCCTGGCTCGGCAGCGCGTAGCCGAGGAGGGCGCAGAGGTCGGAGGGGAGACCTCGCTCCGGCCACGCCCAAGCTTCCGGCCTCTCCGGCCGTCGAGGCGGCCAGTCGCCCTTCGCCGCTGTGAGGGAAGAGAGCGGTGCCACCTCGTGCAGCGTGCTTCTGCCAGCCGCGCCATCACTCCGCGGGTGGACTCGCCTCACCGGGTGCTCCGCAGCGCCCGCCACTCCGCCGATACCAACGCCCACCTCCGCCAGACGACGAAGATACGCAAACGACCGCGGCGGCGGCGGCGGTGGCGGCGGGCCTGCAACGCACGAGGGAGTGCGCACAAGCTGGTAGACAAACTCCGCTGGGCGCTTGCAGCGGCCTGGGCGCTTCAGGTGCGGCGCGCCGAACTCCACCTCTGCCCCGGCGGGAACGGGAAACGTCGCGCGGGGAGGGATCAGCTCGCCGCAGACCGCTGTTCCGTTGGCGCTCTCCTTGAGGGAGGAGCGCCCGCCGTCAGCGAGCAGCACGCTGCCACTGTCGTCGACCCAGATCTCCGCGTGCATGCGGCTGACCAAGCCGGGCGACGCAGAGAGAGTTGGCGCGTTGAGAAACGTGGCTGCGACCGGCTGCGTCTGCGAGGTGAGCGGGTCGGCGGAGCTGCTGCAGCTCCCGTCGCCCCGGCATATGCGGATAACCTTGCCGGTGGTCAGCGGGATGCGAGCCGGACGGTCTGCGCGCTCGGGGCCGCTCACGAGCCGCAGCTCGTAGCCGGGCGGTGGCGGCGGGCCTATGCTACCGCTGTCGTCGACCCAGATCTCCGCGTGCATGCGGCTCCCGAGCCGATGCTCCCGCGACGGCGGCGCCTCCTCGATGTCCATCTCCTCCCGCCCGCTCCGCAGCTCGAGGACCGCCGCCGCCAGCGCTTGCCGCAGCGCGTTCGTGCCGGCCACGCCCCGGAGCTTGAAAATCAGCTGTTGGGCGTGCGAGGCGGCTGAGAGGTGGAGCGGGGGGGAGGAGGGGGCCGGGTGGGTGGGCGGGGGAGTGGGGGGGGGGGGGGGGGCGCCTGCTGTTGGTCCAGCTCCCTGCTCACGAACCGCCGCTGCAACTCGTCAAGTTGCCCGTGCTTGTCGGGCTGCCCGAACCGCTTGACGATCTCAAAGACGTCGGCCACATGGAGGCGCAGGGCTGCATCGGAGGGGGGGCGAGGGGGGTCAGCGACGGTGTGCAGAGGCGGGGACGCGGCGGGGGGTGGGGGGGGGCGGCGGTCAGAGGCTGCTGCGGGGACATGGCGCGGCGGGGGGCGTGGCAGCGCGCACCCGACTCCTCCTCCTCCTCGCTCTCCTCCTCGCTCTCCTCCTCCTCGCTCTCCTCCTCGCTCTCCTCCCCCTCCCCCTCCCCCCCCCGCTCCTCCGGCGCCAATGGCTGCTCCGGCCCAATCAGCACCCCAGCCGGCTCGACGAGCGCTCGCAACGCCTGCAGCGCCTGCACCGGCGCGCGGACGTCGAACTCGTAGCTGTCGACCCGCGGGCTCGGCGTGCCGTCGTCGAAAGCGATGACCGGGTACCCGCACAGAGTGCCCCCCGACAGCGCGAGGATCGCCGCGGGGACCTCGGACGCGCGGCAGCGGCAGTGAACGAGGATCGAGCCCCCCTCGATCGTGACCTCCAGGTCCTCTATCCCAGTGAGGCGCCGGAGCGCACCCTCGAGCCTTGCCCGCAGGGCCTCACGCTCCTCCGGCGCGGACGGCAGAGGCCGCTTCTCGTCGTCCAGCCGGAGGGTGAAGCGAATGCCCTGCCACTCGACCGACAAGCCGGAGGCATCGAGCGTCTTGCACAAGTAGGTGTCGAACATCGTCCGAAGAGCAGCGTGGAGCTCTGCTGACGAACTGCCGAGGGCAGTTAGAACTTTCGCCGTTTGCTCCTGCCACTTCCGCAACCTCCAGCTATCCTCATCAGACAACCCGAGGGACTGCGTGTTGCTGGAGTCCAGCAGGAAAAGCACGCCCTCGAGCCCATCAAGCTTCTGCACCATGCCCTCGAGCGGAGCCGGGTTGCCGATGCGCAAGCACTTCGCGAGGAGACCGAGCAGGTCCTTGTCCTGCACGGTGAACGTCGCCAACAGCGACGGCTGCTGCTGCGGCCCGCCAGACGACACGATGCTGGTGGTGGCCGACGAGAGTTCAGGCGGGCGATGCGCAAGAGGAGTAGGAGCGTTTGAAGACGCGCCGTCGCCGTCGCCGCCGCCGCCGCCGCCGCCGTCGCCGCCGCCACCGCTCCTCCGGGCGCGCTTGGCTGGCGCCTTTGAGGCTGTCGCCTTGCGCTTGCCAGCTGCGGCGGCGCTGCTCGCTGCGGCTGCCGGCTGCGGCGGCGCTGCCGGCTGCGGCGGCGCTGCGCTCAAAGGCCGAAATGGCGGCCGCGCCGACGAGTTGTACTCGAGGACGAGGTACTCGCCGTCAAACTTGAAGCAATCGAGTCCATCTCCGCCGCCTCCGCCCTCGCCGCCGCCGCCCTCACCGCCTCCGCCCTCACCGCCGCCGCCCTCGCCGCTGCCGGCGACGCCCGCGTCGATGTCCGGGCCGCCCGCTATGCCTCCGCCACCGTCGCTGCCGCTGCCGCCGCCGACGGAGCCGCCGCCCTCTCCGTCAATCGGGCACGGAGAGATGAAGATGGCCGGGCCGTCTTTGTTTCTCCGAGGGCAGCGGTTGACGACCAGGCCGACGAGGCCGCTCGTGTGCTCCTTCCACGGCGTGTTCTTCAGGTACCCGCGATTCTTCCAAGAACCCGTGTCCTTCTCGCTCTCCGCCGCCACTCGCACGCGCGCCCGACTGATTCTCAGCCCCTTCGCCTTGCTGTCCTTGGAGTAGTGCTTGACGTGAATACCCTCCCCCTCCACCACCGTGTGCGCGCGCTGCCTCCACTCCAGGATGCCGTCCCAGCAGTACGTCTGGCCGTCTGGAAGCTCCGGCCAATCGCCGACGCCGTAAAGGGATCGAAGAACTTCGTTGGTCAGAAGAAGCTCGGTGCTTGGCTCGGCAGCCGCCACGGGCGGCGTCGCAGCACCGAGCGTTGCACCGGGATCAAATTCCAGGCCCGACTGCATCTGAAGCAAGCACTCAACGCGAGTGCGAGCGCAAACATGCTCTTCATCTTTTTTTCTGAGCTTAGCTCTCGATGTTATAATGAAACAAACGCAAGGCGGACATGGCATATCGCTCTCGGGCCCACAGACATCCCGCACACCCGCTGCCCCCGCGCGCGCCCCACCCCGGCCGGGAGAGAGGGGAGTGACAGTTTGGGATGAAAGCCCGAGTATGTTGAGTCCTGGCTCAACAACGCAGGGAACAAGAGGGGGTGGTCCGGCTCACAGGTCCGGCTCACGCGCCTCGAGCTTACCATCTACCGCACTGAACACTTCCGCCCCCTCGCTCCCAGCCCATCCACCCCGCCCCGGGCCGCGCCGCGCGATCTCGGGTTTTGGCTTTTTGGACGGCTTTTTTGGATTCTCCCGCCCTCCAACCCCTCTCTTGGGTTTTTTTCTTTGAGTGTGTTCTTCGTCCCCTGGGGGCGTCGTTTCTTTCTTTGTTTCGCGATGGTGGAAGGCTCCACTTATATAAAATGAACTCGGGGGCACGGGACGCGGCACAAACGGGGCACAAACGCCAGGCTACAAAGACAAACAAAACAAAACAAATCTCTCTATCTCACAAAGACGGGAAGAAGTCTCTCTCTCTCTCCAAAGACGGGGAGGCACGTAGTGACGCAGGGGAGTCTAGGCGACGGCGGCGTCCTCCTTCCACAAAGTTCGTTCAGAATCTTTTTTGTCTCCGCCAGTTGCGGCGGGGCCTGGCTTTGCCCGCCTTGCTTTTCTTTTCTGTGATCGGTGAAGGTAATTTCTTTTTCCGCGATGGTGAATGCCCGATAGCCGATGGATACGAGGCTCGGAAAGGCAACAGAGACGAGCAAAGTGCGGCCGCTGAATGCGTTGTTTGGCAGGTGCGTCATGCCCTCGGGCAGCACCGCGTGCCCGCAGGTGAGGACGACAACCTGCCAGCCGCCCACGGTCAATATCTCGGAGCCGCCGGCGGTCAACATCCCTGCCGGTGCGATTGCGACAGCGTGTTGTTCATCTTTCTACAACTACATACATACTTACCGACTAGTTAGGAAGGCGCCCCCAGGGCTAGGGCTCTCCAGCCCGCAACCCGATGCCAATCGTCCGGCCCCGCTGGGTGCGCTTTTCTGCTCCCCGGCCCTTGGTGTTTTTAGTTTTCCTTGGTGTGAGGTTGATGACTCACTCAAAAAGAAAGAAAGAAAGCAGGCCACCCAAGGTAGGGATAGGAGGACGGTACGCCGCCACCACACAGGGATTTTAGGGGAGAAGTGTGGTGTTAGCCGTCGCCCACCCTCGGGCGTCTGATCACTCAAAAAGAAAGAAAGAAAACAGACAAACCCAGACGAGGGATGGGGGAGGATCACTCCAAGTACAGGGGTTTCTTTGTTTCGATGGTGGAGCTGGAGCGGCCTTCGCGGCAGCGGCTCCACCTCCGCCGCGGGCGACGGCGGCGGCCGCGAGCCGCCCCCGCCCTCCCGGCAGCCATGCCGGCGCCCAGACTGGCCGGCCTGGCCGCCGCTCCACCACTCCGACCGACCTGCTCCACCTCGCCAACCTGCTCCAGCTCCGGCGCTCCAGCTCCGCCTCCACCTGCACCTGAGGGCTCTCTCTGCTCCTTGCGGCTTTGCCCTCCCTCCGGCCTCGTCCAGCGCGCCTCGGTGCGCCGCGCCCTCGCCCGTCGCGCCTCGCCTCCGCGCCCCGCCGCCCTCGCCACCCCTGCTTGCTCTCCTTCTCTCCCTCCTCCCGCCTCTCGCCGCGTGCGCCGCCCGCCTCGGAAGCCCACCCCTGACACCCGACCGCATCTCGACCCAGACCCTGTCCTGATGCCGTCCTGCATCATCTGCCACGATGAGAAGGAGCGCGCGATCGTGTGCGCCGAGGGCCACGCGACATGCGAGGAGTGCCTCGCGCCGTTCGTCGCCGGCAACGCCGACGCCCTCTCCAAGACCGACCTCATCGCCTCCAAGGCGGACGCCGCCGCGGCGCGCAACGACACCGCCGCCGTCGCCAAGTTTGAGGGCCGCTGCCTCTGCCCGCTCTCCGGCCACGGGTGCAACGCGGGCCCCTTTGAGGACAAGGACGTCGCGGCGCACGTTCCGCCCGACGTCTTCTGCGCGTTCGTCGGCTGCAAGGTGCACCTTCCGCTCGCGCGCAAGCTGCAGGACGTGGTGGCGAAGAAGCAGGAACTGAGCCTGCAGTTCCCAAATGCGCGCCAGTGCGGTCGCTGCTCGCACGGCCCCGTGCTCTTCAGGCGCCGCCGCCTCCAAACCCGCTCCCGCCGCCTTCACCTTGCCCGCCGCCTCCACTTTCCCATCCTCCGCCCTCCTCCCCTACCGAGCCCTCACCACCACCCCCTCCACCGCCCTCGTCCTCGCCACCGCCTCCCCCACACTCGCCGCCTCCCCCGCCCTCGCCGCCTCCGAGCCTCACGCCACCACCCGCTCCACCGCCGACCCCGCCGCCAATCCCGCCGCTCCAGGGGCTGCTCCGACCTCACCACGCACCATGGCCAAGGCGGCATCGACAACTCGTGCGGCCGCTGCGGCTGGCGCGCGCTGCTGATACATCCCCTCTGCTGGCCACCACACATCCCCTCTGAACTCTCTCGAAGGCCTCCCATGCCACTTGAAGGCCGCGTCCAGGCCGCATGCTTTGCACCCTGTCCCCTCCCTCCCTCCCCGTGCAGGTTCGCGCCTCACATCTCGATGTGGCCGCGCTGGGACCCGACCGCAGCGGCGCTCCGTCGCGAGAACGAGGAGAGGACGACCCGAGACGGCCCGAGATGACCGCGAGATTGCGCGAGGTCGTAGGCGCTCGGGCGCGACGACCCGCTGGACGCCGTCTTCTCAGAGGCGCGAGGCCCCTTCTCTGCCCCTTCTCTGCCCCTTTCTCTGCCACCTCCCAGCCCTTGCCCCGCACTGGCGTGGGGGAGACTTGTGCCTCGCCTCGGCGCAGGCGCAAGAGGACGAGCCGGCCGCCGCCGCGCGCGCCGAGGAGCGACGCCGCCAAGCGGCCCTCTTCCGGCAGCAGCAAGAGGCGCTTCCCCCCCCCCCCCCCTGCCGCCGCCCCCGCCCGCACACCACCCACACCCCAACCCTCGCAGCCCCTCCCCCGCAACTGCCTGCTCATGCGCACCGAGCCTTGGTTTGAATGCCGCGGGGCTCCTGATGTCTTGCCTCTCACCCTCACCGCACCACGCTTACCTCACCCCACCTTCCTCCGCCCCATCCTTGCCCGCCAGGCGCGCGAGGAGGAGCGCCGCCAGTGGATGCAAGGGGTGGTCGTCCGGCGGCGGGCGGCCCGCGAGGCACCATCTAGATGCGACACCATCCTAGCATTCCGGTAGTCTTGGCTGCCACCAGAGACTACGCTTCTCTCGCTCCAAAAGACAGCGCACGACCTTGTGTCTTCGCGCCCTCACCGCTTCTCTCGATCACCCCAGGCTCGCATGGTGTCGATGGAGGAGCGGCGCGCGCTCCGCGACGACGGATGGGGCGTCGCCCAGCAGCTGCCGAGCGGCGAGCGCCGCTGGCACGACTTCGACTCGCGCCCGCCCTCGTGGCGCCGGCAGCAAGAGCCGCAAGAGCCGCAAGAGCCGCCAAGGCAGCGCCGCCGCGTGATCGACGAGTGGCCGGCAGAGTCGTAGATGATTGGCATCAGCCCTGGCCATTAGTAGTGGGCCCTGAATGACCCCCTCTCCCCCCCGCCCCCTCCCCTCATTTCGCCTCTTTCGCTCTCTAGGCCGCCGCCCGTCTCGAGCCCCGCGGTTTTCCCGGCCGGTTCGAGCCGGCGTCGGCCTTCGCGGGTGCACGCCCCGGCTACGTCTTCCGGGCGGGCGAGCAAGGGCTCGGCTACTACCCCGACGGCCACATCGCGCGAGGCCGCTCCGGGGTGCTGATCGCGCGCGTGCCTCCGATGGCCATGCCCGCCGGCGGCCAGGCCACGCCGCGCGGGCTGGCGAGCCTCGAGGCGGGGGGGCGCGGCCCCGCCGGCCCGACGGTAGTGGACACCGGCTTCGGCGACCTCGCCTTCGCCGACCTCCTCGTTGGCCTCGGGGAGCACGCAAGCGCCGGTCCAAGCGGCGCCGGACCAAGCGGCGCCGCACCAAGCGACGAGTTTGCCGCCCCGTCGGACCGCCGCGGCGGCGAGCCGACGGAGGAGGAGGAGCGGCGCGCGCTGCGCGCGTACGAGGTGCGTGCTCTCCCCCCGCCACCCTCTGCCCCCTTGCCTCCTCTCCCTTGCCTCCTCTCCCTGCCTTTCTCATCCTTCCCTTCTCTCCCTTTCCCCCTGCGGACTCCCCTGCGGGCAACCTTCTCGCAGCCCTCTCGCAGCCCTCTCGGAGCCCTCTTGGAACCCTCATTTTAGGCGTACTTCGAACTGCCAGACCGCTCCGCGACGATCGACCAGGTGCGGGCGACCTCGGCCGGCGTCGCCGGCTTTGCGCGCTTCGGGCTCGGCCGCGTCTAGGCGGTCGGGTCGCGGCGGCGGGGGGGGGTGTCAAGGGACATGGTGTTTCGCCACATGGTAGCCACCAGCGCCCGGCCACGCGGCACACCTCCGGCCAACCGCGGCAGAGGTGGCGAGCAGTGAGGCAGCCTAAAGCCGTAGCAGTGAGGTCGCGTGGGGGGGGGGACAGGGAGGGGGGGGCGAACTTAGATTTTTGATATCGCAAATCATGCCTCTTCGTGTACTTTATGTACCGTACTGGTCTACTGTGCGTACAGACCTCGATGCTCCAACGTGGTACACGGCTTTACGTACGGGGTGTGGACCGTGAGTTGACCAGGGGTTGTGCGCCTGGCCCTCCTGCTCGGCTCCAGCCAGTAGACAAGTCTTGTCACTAACAGAGTAGAAGGATCTGACCTCGGGGCCGATGTGACCAAGCGCTGGTAGCGTGGTTTTACCTCACACCCATGGTCTCACAGTGTGCCGGCAGTCGCCGAGCAGTGTCGCTCACACAAGCCGCAGCACAAGTGACTGAGGGCCAGTGAGGGCGAGCCCATCGCTGTCACAGCTGTGGTAGCCGCACAGTAGGCTGTGTCAACTGTGCAGAGCGTGTGAGCAGCCGAGGAGCTGCTCTCCAGGCTTCTGACGCAAAGAGCTGCATGCCATCGAAGGCGCTGTCGAGGTTCGCCGAGCGCGGCGCAAGTTCAGGGACACCGTCACCGACGAGCGCGTTGGACTTTTCACTCCGGACAAAGACGGCGACACGCACACGAGCTGCGGTCGTGTAGCCGTCATAGCGGCGAGGCGCGGGACCGTCTGTGGCGAAGTGGGTCGCGTCCTCCGATTTCCTGAAGACGACTCTCTCTCTCCCAACTGTGAACAGTCGTTATCTCTATATGCGCAGCTATTCATAGCCGCGCCTGTTGTTTGTGTGTGTATCCGCGCTCTTGGCGCGATTACGAGACGGACTAGTTTGTGTTGCACTAGTTGTACTTTTCGTAATAGTATTCCGCATTCATTGCGAGGGCGGACCACTCCTAGCGTGCAGACCGTCAGCGCCTGCCCCCCCGACTGTGTCGGCCCCGGTGCGATGTCGTTGACGAGGTAGTCCTCCCCTGCCCGTCGGCGCAGCGAGAGTACTGCGCACTGCTGGGCAGCGCCCAGAATGCAGGGAAGGCCTTGGCGCTTCTCGCCATCCAGACTGACTCGGCCACCGGCAAGCGAGCCGAGTGCGCGTTCCGAGCACGCGGCCCGGCACTTTCCCACAGGCCCGCCAGCCGCCGCGCAGCTTTGGAGAGGTAGCTGGCGTTGCGCTGCACTGCTTGAAGCTGCTGTTGAGGCGCTGCACTGCTCAAAGCTGCCCCGTGCGCCGCCGCGAGCGCCGCGCCGTGGCCTCGTTCTCTGGAGAGCCCCAGCACCACCCCTCGCGGCCACTCGCGCCGTTGCAGCAGCTCCGACCCCGCCACTCCGGCTCCCGAGCGCGCGGCGAGCAAGAGGAAGAGCACGCGCATGGGCCAAATCCGCTTTGCGCGCAATTTTTTTCATCTGTTTTTCTTGTTTGACTTGGCGATTTGAGAGTCGCGCACAGCACACACTGGGTGTGCTCCTCGCTCGCTCCCCGCTCGCCTCGGTGACCTGTCGCCCACCAGCGCGCGGCGACCGCGCGCACACCACCAGCGCGCGGCGACCGCGCACACCGCGCCCGCCGGCTCTCCGCCCTCCTCACCACCCGTCGGCGCTGTCCGCAGGATGTGAGGCGGAACGGCGACCGCACAGCGCGCGCGGGTGTGGAGAACGTGATCAACCGCCGGGCTTCGGCCCCTCGCCGACGCAGCGCCGGCGAGGTCCTGGGTCATCCCCGGGCGGCGGTCCGGGCGGCAGCAGATCTCTGCGCCGCCCGCATCCTGTTCGTGATCAGGGCGTGCGCAGTTTGAAATTGCAAGGTCCGAGCGCGCGCCCGCGCCCGCCGCGCCCCGCACGCAGCCACATCCTGCGTTCTGCGGCGGCAGCGGCCTTATCTCTCTCTCTCCCTGCTCTCCCAAGCCGTGCGCACCGTCGCCGCGCGCGCGCGCCGCCGCAAGCTGCCGGGCTGACGCTCGTCCCCGTGCCCCTGTTGCGCAGGCAACACCCGCGCTCGTGCGGACCGCACGACCAGCTTCCTGCTCGCGCCGCCCTCGCTGTGGCCCGGCGTCTCCGCCGGCGGCTGGTGCGTCAAGGTGATGAAGAGCACCACCAAGCCTGACGTCACCACGGTCAAGTTCAACGACTCCACGGTGACCTTCTCGTTCGCCGTGGTTGCCTCATGGAAGCCCGTCTCCTAGAGAGTCGGCGCCATCGCTCTTGCCGCGCCGCGCGTAGTGCGCGTCGCGCGGGTACCGCACTATTAGGGCACTATTAGGGCCACTATTAGGCTCTCATAGTGCCCTAATAGCGCCCTAATAGTCGCTATTAGCCCATCTCATAGTGGTGTTCTAATAGCTCCAGACGTTATGAAGCTCAGCTATTAGCTCCTCTGAGCTAATAGTAGCACTATTTGAAATCGCTATTAGCCTTTTCCTCATTATGAGGCTAATAGTTTGACCAGTGTGATCACCGAGAATGGCAGCGTCAAGAGCACCGGCGTCAAGGTTGCTAGCGACGCCGTCTTGAACATCACCAAGAGTGGATCCGCTGTACTCCCGTCCGCCATCGGCTTCACCATCGACAGCAATGGGAAGCGCGCCCCCGTCGTCGGCGACATCCCCGTCTCGCGGGCCGCCGCCGTCCAAGGTCTCGCGCCCGATCTCATCCTGGCTAGTTCCATTTCACTCTGACACGCTAATCTTGAAAACGTCCAACGGAGCTCCGTGTTGCTCCCAGCGCCCTCCCCCGCGCTTCCTGCGGCCACGGCCGATGATACTAGGATGAGAGGTCATCTGGCTACCGCGAGCGCGACTCAACTCGCCGACGTCGTCCGATGATTGTGCCTCAAAGTCAGCCTTCGGAGGCTATCGTGGGGTCGAGCCGGCAGTAGCCGTGACATGTGGTTCCACCACCCCTCGTATGCTTTGCCTCTGACCGCCACCGTTCCCAGGCTGCCAAATGGGATGGAAAGGAAGGCTCGGCGAGCGTATAGAAGCGTGCTCGACCTCGTCGTGGCAACCTGCACGGCAGCGCTGGTAGGCGCGATGAGCGTCGTGCCACCTGACCCGAGACGGGTCGCAGGCGTCGTACCGAGCGCGTCGAGACCGTGTCCTGATGTGATCTGCACGGGTGAGTCACGTCGGCGTCAAAGGAGCGACGTGCGACCTGTCAGAGCTTGATCTCCGATCTCAGCGGCGTCGAGTCGTCTCCGGCGCGCGACAAAGGTACATCCCCAGGACGCGCAGAGGCAGCTGCGACCCAGCGGAGTGGACGGTAACGCACCGCGCCACCTGCTGTGCGTTACCGTCCACTCGGCGGGGTCGCAGCTGCCTCTGGAAGGCACCGAGATGTACCTTTTTCGCGCAATGGTCAAAATCAAGGTTTTGTAACGCGAGCTGTGCCACAGTGAAATGGAACTAGCCCCTTCTATCTGTTCGTTGCGCGAAGAATGACGACGGCATTCGCGCCTACTTCAACGACGACAACTCTTACGGAGTCGACGAGTGCGTCCGTCTCCCCAGCGGTGTTTTCTTTTCTTTCGGCGGCTTCGAACGATGCTACAAGATTGCTACCATCGATTGCGCCGCCGATGTCGACGTTGCTGCGTCAGTCACCACTGACTACAACCTCTTGTGTCACGCACGCCTCTGCCACGCCGGCCACGCTCGCCTCGCCGCAAGCAACTTCACTTGGCAAGGCAAACAAATCAACGGCAACTATGTCCCGCACGAGTGCCGTGGCTGCAGACTGTGTGCGCCGAAACGGCCCGCCTCCCGTGCCGTGCGACGTACGCTCGCTGCGCCTCCACCAGCCGCCAGCGCACGAGAGCCGCTCTCCTTCTTCGGCCAGCTCGTCGCCAGCGACTGTTCCTACCCGTTTCCGCGCTCGTTCCCGCACGGATTCACCGGCGTCACCAACCGGCGACAAGTTCGTCTACTACCTCGTTCACAAGCCGAACTCTGCCGAGGTCGCCGATTTGTTCCGCAAGTTCCACCACAACAACAACGAGCATCGGCTTCGAAATGGAAAGGTTTATGCCTTCCTCGACGACAACGGGCTCGAGTACCATGGCGATGCCATCGACGGACCAGATGGAATCGTGCGGCAACTCATCGTCAAGCGTCAGTTTGGCATTGCTAACGAAGACAATACCAACCCCAAGTGTCCGAGACGTTGTTCGCGCATAGCCGGTTTGCTAGCTCCACCGATGACTGGCCCGAAGTCGAAAGGCCCTTCTTCTTGCAGGCATGCTTGGAGCTGCGCGACGTCGAATTGTTCGGCGGCTCGACCGCCGGCGCGCCCACCCTCGCCTCCCGCGCGCCTCACACACAGTATTCTCCTCGCGCGCGGCCGACAAAGTGAGCGCACGACCACCTCCCTCTCAGTCACCCCCAGGTTGTGCTCTCGCACTACGGCGGCGGGCGGCCGCCGCGCGGCGCCGACCCCTTCCCCTCGGGACGAGTCTGTCGGAGGGGCGGGCGGCGCGCGGGGGAGCGCGGAGAGCGTGCGAGAGAGGTGGGCGGCTCGCCCGACACATCGCCCCCGACGGCACACACCCCACCCCTGCCCCCCTTGCGCTCCGTCGCGCCGCCCCACGCATATTCTTACCTGCCCCGCTCCCTCCGGAGCTGCCCCTCCCCTGCCGCCTCACACGCACACCTCCCGCCCCCCCCCCCCCAATCCTCGCGCTTGATCCCCGTGCCGCAGGCAGCTCTCAATGCACAGCCTCCCGCTCGAGCCCGCGGCCGAGAGCGGCAGGGGGGCGGGGGGGCGCGCGTCGGCGCCGGCGGCGGCGCCGGGCATCGGCGCCGGTGGAGATCGCTGTCACCACCGGCGGGCCTCTCTAGCCGGGCGCGCGGGTCGTGTAGCGAGTAGTTACGTTGTTAGAGCGACAGTGGGGCGAGGTCTGAAGTATTTTACGTGTTTGCGCGGGAGATGCAGTATACGTCAGTTACAGTACTCATGCACGCGTAGAGTAGCAGAGTATGGGCCGACACGGTGGTTGGTACACCACAGTCAGTGAAACTAGTTGACAACACTCAATCGGCAAACAGTACAGTACACAAATCCCGTCACTCAACCGTCAAGTGAGTGGAGAAACAAAGCGCGGCTCGCCTCAGGTGACCTGGCGCCGCCATCCAAGCTCCGCACTCAGCTCCTGCGAAGCAAACCGCAGCGCATTGCCGTTCTGTTGCACGGCGGCCAGCACCACCTCGCGGTCCGCCTTCAGCACCTGCGAGGCGTACTCCAGCGCCATGCCGTCCTGCTGCACAGCGGCCAGCACCACCTCGCGGTCCGCCCTCAGCTCCCTCGAAGCGTGCTCTAGCGCATCGCCGCTCTGCTGCACAGCGGCCAGCACCACCGCTCGGTCAGCCCTCAGCTCCTCCGAGGCGTACCATAACACCCCGCCGCTCTGCTGCACGGCGGCTAGCATGACCTCACGGTCCGCCGTCAGCTCCTGTGAGGCGTGCAGCAGCGCATCGCCGTTCTGCTGCACGGCGGCCAGCACGATCTCACGGTCCGCCCTCAGCTCCTGCGAAGCGTGCTGCAACGCCCTACCGTCCTGCTGCACGGCGGCCAGCACCACCTCGCGGTCCGCCCTCAGCTCCTGCGAAGCGTGCTGCAACGCCCTACCGTCCTGCTGCACGGCGGCCAGCACCACCTCGCGGTCCGCCCTCAGCTCCCGCGAAGCGCGCCCTAGCGCCATGCCGCTCCGCCGCACGACAGGCATCACGAACTCACGGTCCGCCCACAGCTCCTTCGAGGCAAGCCGCAGCGCATCGCCGTTCTGCTTCACGGCGGCCAGCACGATCTCGCGGTCCGCGCTCAGCTCCTGCGAGGCGTACTGCAGCGCATCGCCGTTCTGCTTCACGGCGGCTCGCACGATCTCACGGTCCGCCCTCAGCTCTTGCGAAGCGCGCTGCAGCGCATCGCCGTTCTGCTTCACGGCGGCTAGCACGATCTCACGGTCCGCCCTCAGCTCTTGCGAAGCGCGCTGCAGCTCCATGCCGCTCCGCCGCACAACAGGCATCACGAACTCGCGGTCCGCCCACAGCTTCTGCGAAGCGTAAACCAGCGCCCCGCCGCTCTGTTGCACGGCGGCCAGCACTATCTCGCGGTCCGCCTTCAGCTCCTGCGAGGCGTACTGCAGCGCATCGCCGTTCTGCTTCACGGCGGCTCGCACGATCTCACGGTCCGCCCGCAGCTCCTGCGAAGCGTACTGCAGCGCCCAACCCCACCGCAGCACGGCGGCCAGCACCACCTCGCGGTCCGCCCTCAGCTCCCGCGAAGCGCGCCCTAGCGCCATGCCGCTCCGCCGCACGACAGGCATCACGAACTCACGGTCCGCCCACAGCTCCTTCGAGGCAAGCCGCAGCGCATCGCCGTTCTGCTTCACGGCGGCTAGCACGATCTCTCGGTCCGCCCTCAGCTCTTGCGAAGCGCGCTGCAGCTCCATGCCGCTCCGCCGCACAAGAGGCATCACGAACTCGCGGTCCGCCCACAGCTTCTGCGAAGCGTAAACCAGCGCCCCGCCGCTCTGTTGCACGGCGGCCAGCACTATCTCGCGGTCCGCCTTCAGCTCCTGCGAGGCGTACTGCAGCGCATCGCCGTTCTGCTTCACGGCGGCTCGCACGATCTCACGGTCCGCCCTCAGCTCTTGCGAAGCGCGCTGCAGCGCATCGCCGTTCTGCTTCACAACAGGCATCACGAACTCGCGGTCCGCCCACAGCTTCTGCGAAGCGTAAACCAGCGCCCCGCCGCTCCGTTGCACGGCGGCCAGCACGATCTCGCGGTCCGCGCTCAGCTCCTGCGAGGCGTACTGCAGCGCCCAGCCGTTCTGCTGCACAGCGGCCAACACCACCTCGCGGTCCGACTTTAGCTCCTGCGAGGCGTACTGCAGCGCCCCGCCGTTCTGCAGCGCCCTGTCTCTCTGCCGCACGGCGGCCAGCACTATCTCGCGGTCCGCCCGCAACGCCTGCGAGGCGTACTCCAGCGCCCAGCCCTCCTGCTGCACAGCGGCCAACACCACCTCGCGGTCCGACTTTAGCTCCTGCGAGGCGTACCGCAGCGCCCCGCCGCTCTGTTGCACGGCGGCCAGCACGACCTCGCGGTCCGCCTTGAGCGCCTGCGAGGCGTACCGCAGCGCCCCGCCGCTCTGTTGCACGGCGGCCAGCACGACCTCGCGGTCCGCCTTGAGCGCCTGCGAGGCGTACTCTAGCGCATCGCCGTTCCGCTGCACGGCGGCCAGCACCACCTCGCGGTCCGCCCTCAGCTCCTCCGAGGCGTACCGCAGCGCCATGAGGAAGACGCTCTGCAGCACAGCGGCCAGCACGATCTCGCGATCCGAAGGATCAGCCCTCAGCCTGGCACCGAGGCTCCTCAGCCTGTCACCGATGCGCTTCGCGATCTCCGTCGCACTGCCCTGCTTGTCGACGCAGACCAGCTCACACAGCGCCTCGAGCTGCGGCACGCCCAGCCCGCCGCTCTCGCGTAGCCGGCCCGCCAGCGCCTCCGAGCTGCCGGACGCCGACAGCCCCTTCTCCTCGCAGAGCGCCTTGAGCCGGCCAAGCGGCAGCTGCTCCAGCCAGGAGAGGGCGACCTCCTCCTTCTCCTTCCCGCCCATCTTCGGCTTCTTGGCAGCGGAAGCCGACGGCGACGGCTCATCCGCCTTCGTTGTGCGAAGCGCGGAAGCGACGGCGCCGGTGTCAAGCGACGACGAGCCGACGGGCGCGCCTGGCTTCTCCGCCGCCGTAGGAAGGCTGACTGGGGGCGTAGGAAGGGGACAGGAGAGGTCAGAAGCGTGCAGTGTGAGCCGCGGCACAAGGCATGGCGGGGGGTAAAGCGAAGTGTGGCACGAGGGTGGCGCCATGACTGGCGTGAGGTGGGGGTGGGGGGGGATGCGCGCACCTGGACCCTTGCCACCCGGCTCGGCCGCTGGCGGCGCCTCGGCTCGAGGCGCCTCGCCGTCTTGCGTGGAGATCGCAAAGGCTTGCGCGAGCTGCCGCTCCTCCTCCGCGTCCACCCTCGGAGGCTCCCGCGACGGCGGCGGCGGCGCCTCTTCTACAACCATCTCCTCCCGCCCGTTCCGCAGCTCGAGGACCGCCGCCGCCAGCGCTTGCCGCAGCGCGTCGGTGCTGGCCACGTTCCGGAGCTCGGCTCGCAGCTGTGGGGCGTGCGAGGCGGCCGGGGAGAGATAGAGTGAATG